GTGAAGCAACATCCTCCACAACTAGACTGAAGAACAAAAAGGACAGCAACTTGTCTGTTCCCCTTCCCCCAATTCCCCAGCACTGTTCCCATCCCTCCAATTCCCCAATAAAAATCTTTAAAAAAAAAACACCACTATTTTAAATTGACTGTTTTCCTGAGTAAACATCTACTCTGAAAACATGCTGCCTCTTAATCATTATAATTAATAGCAACCAGAACACAATCTTCTCTAAATGTCAAATCAGCTTCTCATAACATAGTTGCTCTTAACAGCTCCTCGTTTTCTAGCACATTTGCCATTTCATAGCAGTGAGCTGAGAAAATAAACATCCTCTTAGTTCAAGCTATCAGGTTCTCCTTTGGTTAATGATTATGCTTGTGACACTAAACAATACCTTTAAATCTGCTACAAAAGTTTAACATTCTGACTTAGTCTATGTTTTTCTGACTTATATCTATGTGGCCTCTGACACACTGGGTGTTGCATGTTGTGGGTGCTCAAATGTGAAATACAGTTACAAAAAAACTCTCCACTCACTCTCTACTACCAAAGATTTTTGCTATCATGGGTTCTTGCCTAACTTCTAGTGTATAGGCATGGTTCTGTCCTATATCCGGGCATTCTGAAATGGAGTTCACTGGGTATATGTTCCCTCAGTTGTCATGCTTACACCTCCTATCCTATAGAACTTCAGGTCCATCTTCTGCATCTGCATTAATCAATGCAGCTGATGGCTTCAACTCAAACAGTAAATACGAAGGGAGCAATCTCTTAAAATATGGGTCACCCTTACATGGTCACAGTTTATTCTAGCTCCTTCCACCAAGGCCCTAGAAGGCTAAGGGTATACAATTACTGTTAATACAGGAGATTAGCAGAGGACAGAAAACTGATCTCACACATGACCTCAGAATCAGTAGTGAACAGTACTGAGATATTTAATAGCAGCAGTGTGGTAATGTTATCAAGGCACTGAGAATCTAAATATCTAATTTTAAAAGTTTAAAAAACTCACCCGCTTAGGTTGATCTGCAAAAGCAGAAAGTCCTGGCTTCACACTATCAAAAATTTCCCCTTCCAGAACTGGAAGCTCCCCTATTTTGTCCATGGAATAAAACAGAAGAGAGATGGCTGATTACCAAGTTAGGCTGCTTCTGAAACTGGGCTCTGTATCATATGACCTACTAGATTAACCTGCTATTTCCCTGAGCTATTCAAGGTAATCCCACCTGTGAGGTATGGCTTGCAAGAGTATTAGGTGAGGGGACAGAGGACGACAGGCAATCTTTGAGAATCCCTTTGTCATTTCCCTGGTGGACACCTAGTTCCTACTCTTTTCCCTAGGCTCTATATGTAACCTGAAGATAGAACACTGGAAATTCAGAAAAAGTTCATCTTCAGGGTCTCCTCATCCCCTTCAAGGATGGTAGGGATCCTTCTCTCAAGACTACTCCCAGCAGTCTCAACATTCTGGAACCTGGAATAGCAACCGTCTTTAGAGAAAAGGAAAGGCAAATTACAGCTATACTTGAACACATGGGTTTCAAACTACAGGCAACCCAGATCTCTCTTAATTTCACACTGAATTAAACCATATGTGTTCAAGTATAGTCTGAAACGTTCTCTGAAGAAAGACATTCAGTAGCTGTTAAGGTTCTGTAATTCACATGACACACTCTCAGCACGTTTCTGAGAGGAGATATATGGATTTATTGACTCTGGTGAGGGTACTAGTTGCACTTACCTGGTCTTTTCTGCACAAAGGTGTAAACATGAATTCGTGTTCCAGTGCTCCCTGCATCGAACATAATTCCATACAAGGTGCTGGCACTGACATTGATGGGGCACATGGAAGACAGGAAGACACCCTCAAACCAAGTCTGTTGATCTCTGTGGAAGACAGTGCTGCAAACACAGGGTGCCACCAGCATGAAAAAGGCTGCCCCCCATGAAGTGGCCATTCTCTTCCCAAGATGTGGTGAGTCTAGGCTTTTGTTGCAAAGCAGTGCAGCTCAAACACCTGTAGAGGCTTACAGGACAAAGACACACAAGGTTAGACCAACTGGCCTTTTTGTTTACACCTGCAAAAGAAGAAAAAACCCAGTACAGAAACCCCACCCCTTTCCCCAAGGTGCTCCTTCTCTATTTATAATAACTAGAACAAGCTAGACCTGGGTGACAGGCTCTTAGCCCCTTTTCTGAAGGCTATCTGGTTGCAAAAGGAAGTTGGGATTTAAAATATATTTTCCCATGCTCTGCTTTTAATTGTAGGGTGTATCTCACATACTCAAAGGCTCTCTCTGCCACCATGCTCCTATTATTGAGTTTAATTTTCTTCTTTCCATTTTGACAATTTTGTCTTCATATACTAACACTCCCTACCCCATTTCCCTCTCTTTCTTCTTTTTATAGAATAAGAAGCTTCCATTTCTGAATTAAAGTTATAAAGTTGCAAAGAAGTTACCAAGTTCCTAGCACTGGGGTGTGTTCACAGCCTTCAAAAATCAGGCCACTGGACTGCCACCTGTTGACCAACACTGCCGATGGCTTGCACATACAAGTACAACCACATTTTAAGGAAATTGATGTAATTTAAAAACACTTGAATCGACCATTATGGTTTTTAAAACATCCTTCACAGGCTTCAGGTCATGTGATCCTCATAAGAACTTAGGGCAGATGGGCAAATTAAGAGAGAGGTTCTGGGCTGGGCGAGTGGCTCAGTTGGTTAAGAGCCCGAGCTCTGAGCAACAGGGTCACTGGTTCAATTCCCACATGGGCCAGTGAGCTGGCCCGAGCTGAGCTGCCGCTAAGCTCCCAACAGGTGGCAGGATGGCTCAGGTGGTGAGAGCACATGCTCCGAACAACAAGGTTGCTGGTTCGACTCCCGCATGGGATGGTGGGTTAGGCCCACCCGCAACTAAGATTGAACACGGCACCTTGAGCTGAGCAGCCACGAGCTGCCACTGTGTGGCCAACGGTGACTGGACTTGGAGCTGAGCTTAGCTGCGCCCTCCACAACTAAGACTGAAAGACAACTTCCCCAATTCCCCAACACTGTTTCCTTTCCCTAATTCCCCAATAAAATCTTTAAAAAAAAGCAGTTCAATGACTTGCTGGAAGTCATAAAGCAGGTCAGTGGTGAGATGCTGATCAGAAGTCAGTCTTCAGTCTTGCCAACCTTTCTTTTTCCCTGATTCCAAAGTATCTCCCTTATGGCAACTTGCTGCCTCTATTTCTTTATGTGTCCTTAGGCAAAGATGTAAAACTTAGCACTGGTGCTTAACATTATTTGCTTCGGATTTGTTTATTATGGTAGGTTGGATACAAATGATGGTGAAAACCTACAGTACAGTAACAAGGAAAAATGTCTCCTGGATAGGCTATATTTTCTCCTGGTATTAATGAAGAATGCCATACCTATCCTCTAACATTTAAGCCTTGCTTAACTGTCCCCTTGCTTAAAACAGTTTTGGGTCTTCTGATCCAGCTTTCATCTCTGGACTTCAACTTGTGTAAGTCATAGTTACTGGTTAAACAAGATTTAATTCCAAAGTCCCTCACTTACCTCACTTATCTCTCCTTATCTCTACCAGAACACTCAGTCTATTTGGAGTACATTGAGGATTCTCAATCATTCTCAAGTTTGTTGATCTCCTAGGGTTTCTTTTTATCAAAATGTGTCCCTCCTCACAGGTGACATACTACATAAAATAAAGCAAATTAAAGTTAACTGCATTTGGAATTTATAACTATTTAAAATAACTATAGAGTTGCTCTGAGGTACTACAAAGGCAGAGTTAGAATTATTAGTTTGAACAGTATTCAAGGCTCAACTTCTATCCTGAAGTTAAGAATGAGAGCTATTGGCTAGGAAAGGAAAATATTTAGACTCTCACACAAAGGAAACGTCATCCCAGGAAATCAACCACTGAAACAGGGCAGCTGCCTGGCTAGGTTCATACTCACATTTAAATCACTCCCTTTGGCCAATTCTTATCTTACAGCAAATAGCTGGTCATGCAGATCAATCTAAATAACTGAAAAAAAAGCCACCTTTAAGATTCTCTGAGTATGAAGAGATTCTTGCCTTATCCAGAGCTTGAACCACATTCAACACCTGGTCCCTTTTCTCCATCAGAAAGTAGAGGGGCTCAGTCACCAGCCTTCCTCCAGCTCTGTGACTGATGCCACAGCAGCTTCTTCAGGGCTCACTCACACTTTCTCTAGTATCATGGTTTCTGAAAAACCTCTCCAGCATCTATTTCCATTAAACAAACATTAGTTTTTCTTCCAAGAGATTACAAGGGGGTAAAAATGCATACTAGGTATCTGTTTTCATGGAGTGAAAACTGCAGAATCATACTATGTGTTCAGTGTAAAACTAAACTGATTTTAAAGAAAGCAAAGGATGAAGACATAAAATCCTTCTTTTGTTCTCAACTCCCACCTTCTAACACCACACCCAGTCTCAGTTTTCTTTAAGAATGGTATTAGAATGGCTTATAATTTAGAGTACATATTGTAAAATAGCATCCTATTTATGTGACACCAGACTGCATAGCTTGTTCAATCACTGTTAGTCTTTGCTCAAATGTCACTGTTCTCAGTGAGACCGTCCTTGTTTGCTCTGTTTAAAATTGCAACCCACCTGGTCACATACCGTCTCCTGTCTTCCTTTCCTGTTATATTTTCCCATAGCACTTCTCACCTTCTGATAACACTATAGAATCGGCTACTTTTAATTTTCATACTCCTGGCTCCCCGACCTACTGCCACCCCATGTGAGCTATATATACAAGGCAGGAGTTTTTGTCTGTTTTGTTCACAGATGTGTTTGTTCCTAGTGCTGGTACAGTGCTAGCACATTGTATGTGTTGAATAAATACCCTGAAGGGATGAACAGTGATCCAATAGCTCAGAGACTGGATCGCACCCATTTAACAAGAATATAACAGCTGACTTCTTTACAAAAGGAGATTACTTACCTACCCATTGGAAGATCAAGATTCCAAACTTCCAAGGAAGGACTGTTTTTTCAAATGTGTCAATTATATAAAAAGTTTTACATGCTACTCAAAATAACGTAGTCAGATTTACTTTCTACAGAATGGAGAGTATACATCAGGATAGTTAAATCTACTACTTTCAGAATTGGTCTTCGCAATATCTCTTGCTCTCTATCTCCCATTCATCTCCAACAAAGGCCTATCTTCAATTCTTTTCTTTGAGACTTTGGTGCCAGCCAGAGTTTGTCACCATGCCCATCTTCTAAGCTCTTGTTCAGTGTATCTTTGTCTCTGTAGTAAACACTAATCCTCTCTACTCAGCCTCCCCAGAGCTGATTCCCTTCTTTCATGTCATCCAGAGCCTGAGAGACTACAATCCCACAGGACCCGGGCCCCACACGAGTGCTCACCTGCTCGTCTGCCGGTTCCCTGTGAATCCTGGCTTTCACTGGTGGTTGCCTTTTGCTCTTTGCTCCTATTTCAGCTCTTCTGAATCAAGCTAGCCTCATGAACCACATTCACCTTTGTGCTAGTTTGCAACTGTAGCATTTTGCTAACTCACTCCCTTCTTTATCCTTCACTCCTCCCTTATCCACCTTCTTTCTGGGTACACATGATTGTCCGGTTCATGTACTTGTAAGATAGTTAAGTGCCAACTAGTAGATTATTGCTTATAGGGCAGAAGTTGCTTAGGAAGTGAATTCTGTGTTGGTTTTACACAGGAGATTAATTACCTAATTAATGTTCTACATTACTTAATGTTATGTTTACAATTAATGTTTTATATTACTTAATGTTATGTTTACAATTATATATAACTATATACAACTATATAATGTTATTAATTCCCTACCAATTCATGTTTTTATAACATTATCCCAATAGTGGAAAAGTTATTAATACTCCTTAATAGCTTCCATCCTTGAAATGAAGTTAGAAAGCCAGGCATTGAATTGTCTAATTAATAAGCATTTACTGAGTGTCTAATATATAACAGATGCTGTGCTAACTTCTAGATACGAAAGAGGAATCAGATATAGGCCCATTTCTTGGGGAGGCTTCAGCTTACTAGAAGAAACAGACAAGTAAACCAGCAGCTATAATGTACTGTGGTAAGTTCTCTGAGAGAAATAAGTGCAGGGTGTGACCGAAATGGATATAAAGGGCAAGTAACTTATCTCAGGAGAAGGAGGGAGGTGGAAAGGGAGTGGTAGGCTTAAGGGATGAGAGGCCTAAACTGGGTCCTGAAGCAGAGGTAGAAATTAACCTGGTAAAGTGACACAAAGACTTCTGAGACCTTCAAGTATTAACTCTGTAGGGCGCAACTGATCTCACAGACTCATTGCACACAAAGATGCCGCTATGAAATACGTCTTTACTGTACTAAGTCACAAACATGACTGGCAATAGGTTACCATAGAGGGGGAAGCAATGAGTCACGATACTTGACTGTTAGATATTTGAAAATTTGTGTGCAATGAATCTGTGAGATCAGTTGTGCACGACGGAGGGTTAAGAGTTCAGTATGGCTGGAATATAAAGGTGTACCAGAATAAAGAGGGCAGGTGTTATAAAGGATGGTTCTGAAGGTATTGAAACATTTCAAAATGAGTGGACTTGTTTTTCTTATATGCACAGTTCCATGGTGACACCTTAGTGTTATTTACGTCTTTCTATGTCCTCCCTAAACAAGTATCAGTATTGTATGACTTGAGTAAAAATGACACAATATTTCCCAAATGTAGAATATAAAGGAACCAAATAGGTGACTAGAAAGTTCCACTAAAGTCTGAAAACAGTGAAACGTAAAAGCACCCACTGCAAATTCTTCTGAGCTCCACAGAAAAGCTGCCTTTAACAAAGTTAAAAATTAAACACAAAGCAAGTTTAAAATGTAACTAGAATGAAATTTTTAAACAATAAGCTAAACTATGGGAATGGATTAGTCAAACCACCCAGAGCCTAAGTTATCCAAGCAAAGCAAAACCAAGGTAGGTCTAAATCTGGGAGATTTCAGCACAGTAGCAAGCAATTCCCCATTTGGGGATATAACTTGGGACCTACATTCCCAATACCAAGGGCCAGAGAGAGCCCTGGAACACCTTGCTATCTATCTGAAGGGTGTCTAAGGTGAGGGTGCATGATATCTTTTGTATTCTCCGAGACAAGCACTGAGCCTAGAACATGCCAGACATCAGTAAATCTGTTCTGAATGGACTCGGTATAATTGGGCTAAAGGTATCTGTAGGGGCACTGGGGCAGGGAGTACCCCCTTTCCCAGTGTCTTACTATGGCTATGTATCACATCCTCAAATACCCATTACCCTCCAAACCAGCCCATGGAAAGCAGTGCTATTCCAGGAAGTCTATTTACTCACATATTAATTCACTCAGCCATTCCAGAACTTATGCGTTGCCTAACGCTACTTACAAGTACAGCATGCAAAGATGAATCATCTTAGACCTGCCTTTTAAGAGGCTGGGGTAAACAGGAAAAAAAATACATGCCAATTAATTACCTCTGTAAAGTTAAAATGTGAGAAGTAGCACAGTTACCATGCTCTGAGACTTCAAAGCAGGGAGAGGTTACTTCCAGCCGGGATAATCAGAGAAGGCTTTGTGAAAGAGGTGGCATTTGAGGAGGGTTCTGGGGAGATGTATTAGGACAGAACAGGAGTGCTTTTCAGGAAAATTAAACAATATGAATCAAGACATTGATGTAGAAAAAGGGGGCGCCCTGGGGAGTAGTGAACAGATCAGTTTGACTAACAAGTAGAAAATAAAGTTGGAAAGGCAAAATTGAAGTCAGATAGTAGAGCACCAAATACTCAGCTAAGGAGTTCAGACTTTACTCTGCAGATGATGAAAGCCATTGAAGATCTTGAGCAAGGGAGTGTCACAGATATGAATCTAGCAGTTACATGTAAGAAGGATTGGGGTGGAGAGTCTTGGTAGGCTCCACTCAGCGAATTCTGTAAATGTTTATTGATGCCTACACTAAGTACTAGGTACCAGAGAATTAAAGGTGACTACACAAACCTTTTTATTTAAGATGTTGACTTTCGGGCCGGCCAAGTGGCTCAGTTGGTTAAGAGCGCGAGCTCTGAGCAACAGGGTCACCGGTTCGATTCCCACATAGGCCAGTTAGCTGCACCCGAGCTGAGCTGCTGCTGAGCTGCCAACAGGTGGCAGGATGGCTCAGCTGGTGAGAGTATGTGCTCCTAACAACTAGGTTGCTGGTTCAACTCCCGCATGAGATGGTGGGCTATGCCCACCCGCAACTAAGATGGAACGTGGCACCTTGAGCTCAGCAGCCACGAGCTGCTGGGCCGACTGGCTGGAGCAGCCTCCTGTACTTGGAGCTGAGCTAGCTGCGCCCTCCACAACTAAGACTGAAGGACAACAACTTGACTGTTCCCCTTCCCCAATTCCCCAATAAAATCTTAAAAAAAGAAAAAGATGTTGACTTTGGCAGGGGTGACAGATGTACATATAAATAACCACACCTTCTTAAGTTAATCAGAAAAATGCTAAAGGAACTCAAAGCACAGGACTAAATCTACCCAGAGGATTAGGAAAGACACTTGAACTATGAGAAATGAATAGAAGTAACTACATAAATATTAGACATGTGGACAAAAGCCAGAGGGACTATAAAGACGAAAACTGGCAGCAGGGAAATTATGTTTAATTTGATTTCATTTTTAAATTTCCTCATGAATTTCTTTCATATGGATTTGAGAAATGAAGGGAAAAAAAAGTAGAAGACCATAGTGATAGAAGATATAAAAGAGGAGGGTAGCATTTAATACAGAGGAAAGAATGGGGCCAAAGGAACGCAATCTGAGATAATAGCAGCTAATATTTATTGAGACCTTAATATTTGCCAAGCACTATGTTAAGTATTTTACATAGATTATCTCATTTAATCTCACAATACCACTCCATGAGGTAGGTTCTATTATAAACATCCCCAGTCAATAAATGAGAAAACTGAGGCTTAAAAAGCTAATTTAAGACCTTGTAGTAGTAAGTGAAAAGAGCCAGAAATCAAACCCAGAGCCCAGTTTTAACCACTAGGTCACCCAGGAAGGGTCATCCAGTATGGCTCTAGCGAAGATGGATATGGGGTGGGGAAGAGAGTGCAGAGCAGAAAATGGTCAGAAATGACGCTGGAAAGTCAGGCTGGCATCAGAATGTGCAAGTCTTATAGTAGTTTGTTCTCCTTCCTATATATGACCAAGAACTTTTGATCTGCTTCCTGCTGGTTCTACCTTCATTACATTTCCAGAGTCCGACCGTTTCAGGCCACTTCCATGGCTATCCATGGCTACAACCTTGGCCCAAGTCACCATCATCTCTCATGTGATTCACTCTAATGTTGTCCTAACAGACCTCCACTTTTACTCTCACTCCTTCAGAGTCTATTTTTAACAAGCAACTAAAGTCATCCTTTAAAAATGTTAGAGCATGTCTCTCTCTCTCCTCTGCAAAATCCAGCAATGGCTTCTCCTTTCCCTCAGCAAGGTCCTAACAGCCTCCATGGACCCACCTGCTCTGCCTTCTTCCCCATTACCCCTCTGGCCTCATCTACTAATACTTCTCACCTTACTCACTCTCCCCACACTGACCTCTGTGCTCGTATGTCACCCACGCTTCTACCTTAGGGCCTTTATCTGGAATGTTTTCCGTACATCCACTTGATAAATTCCTGCAACACCTTCATTGTTCAAATGCTGCTTTCTTATTGAGGCCCATCTTTAGAACTATATGTAACCTCCTTCCCTCATGTGCCCCCTACCTCCACCTGTTCTCCCAGTCCCTTTTACTCTGATCTGCTTTTTCTTCTTTCCATACTACTTACCACATTCTAACATTCTAGATAGCTTATTTATTCTGCTTATTGTCTGTGTTCTCTGATAGAATATAAGCTCTTTGAGAGCAAGAATGTTTTTTGTTTATTGATTTGCCCAAGCACCTAGGAGCGTGTCCAAGAAGCTGCTAAATAGAAACTGACAATAGGAATAAACTGCAACTGACATAAAAAGGGAGAAATAATACTTTCATAAACAGTTAAATAGATTTTTAAGAGAGAATGTAATTAATGAATACCTACTCTAGTCATATTGTTTTAGGAGAAACTGTAATTTTATTTTTCTGAATTAGTTCTATAGCTAAATGGAATTTCTTTAACCACTTTCAAATTGTTAAAATTGTTATAAACTAACTTTCTAAAGGATACTAAACATTGTTCACATTGTCCAAATTTTTCTCTATTTATTAAACCAATAAATATTTTAGGATGCTGTATATTAGTTATCTATTGCTGCATAACAAATAACCCCAAAACTTAGTTGCTTAAAACAATAAACATTTACTATCTCACGGCTTCCGTAGTTCAAGGATTTGGGAGTGACTTAATTGGACAATTCTGGCTTAGGGTCTCTTATGATACTGTAGTCAAGATGTAGGCTGGGGCTGCAGTCATCTGAAGGCTTGACAGGCTGAGGACCCACCTCCAAGATGGCTCACTCAATGGTTGGCAAGCTGATGGCTAGATATTGGAAGAAAGCCTCAGCTGCTTCTCATGTGGACTCTCCACAGGGCCTTGAATGTCTTCACACATGGTGGCTGGCTTCCTCCAGAGTGGGCAATCCAAGAAAGAATAAGGCCTTGACTTGGACTTGTTCATACACTATCACTTCCCCATATTCCACTGGTCATACAGATCAACCCTGTATTTGCATAATATTTTGTGGTCAGCTTTTTTTAAAATATATTTTTCTATTAACACAGCTTACCCACTTATTGTTTTACAAAGTATATGTTATTCCAAAGATATTAACTTTGAAAAATTAAAAGCAATATGGACTTTTAACTTCTCTGAAAATATGTCCCAACACTTGAAGCTTTCTAATTTTTCTGTTATAGTCCCATTATTTTATTTAAAAGAATTAAAATTAAAAAAAACTACAACTCACACAATGTCCTCTTTGTTCCTAAGGTGGAAATGAATTTAAAGACTTCAAATAAAAGTCAGATATGTTTAGGAAAAAGTAGGAATGAGTCACTACATTTAAGATTTTAGACATATTAATAACTTAATAATAAACCTAACAGTGAAATTAAATATTAAATCAAGGAAGATATAGAGTATGAATATTTATGTTAATAGAATAGCAACTTCCCTCAAGCTACATACAGAAAAAAAGTTTCTAATCATACAATGGTAGCATTAATACTTACGTACTGAAGAGATATTTGGTAGAGAGAAGACTGACAACTGGCACAGATTGGAAAACCACTGAAAAATTTTATCACAAGCACTTTTTAAATATCAACTAAGTAAAAAAGGTTTATTTAAAAATCAACTTTTATTAGATCATTGCCAAGGAGCTGTAATAAGACCTGTGAGCATGGAAACTACAAGGGGAAGAGACTGAATAGGAATAAGAATTTCCCAATAATATGAATTGTCTCATGCTGGTGGGAAGGGAAGGAGTCTTACCCCAAAGGGTTCAGCCCAAATCTGACCACAATATCCAAAACAGATTCACAGATCAGAAGACTGGTTGGTATTTTCTAAGGTCCCTTCATCCCTAAGATCAAATACTCTAACTTTCGATAAAGGAATTAGAATTGATGCATTTACCAACAAATGTAAAATTCAAATGTAAACAGGTCACTTATTTCTGTACTTTATTACATTTCAATCAAAACATCATTAGACAAGTGTCTAAAAGGCCCATTCTGTACAATGAAACCACTTGGGTATTATACTAAAATGAGATCAGGTAGTGCTTGATTTCATTTTGCACTGTTTTAGGCTTGACTTATGTACAATAATCACTGTATGGCGAAAGCTGTTGCTAATGCTGCTTCTTTTCTTCACCAGTCACAAAGCCTTTCATTAAGAGTGAAAGTCCTTTGGATTAAGAAAATACTGTCAACCAGGAGGGGATTAACAGTGTCCCAATGAGCAAATATAATGAAAATCTAAGGTGATAAATGATCTTTGCCTCCAAACTCATGTCCATTGTGGGAGATAACTTATCGCAGAAGAGTAATTACAAGGATCACTGTCATTTGTCACTGTTTATATTGGAGTTTGTGGGAAAAGAAGTGAAAACATGTTTTCCCTTTCTTGTTATCAACCAAAAAATAGCTACCGCTTCAAACGTGTTAAACTGAAAAATAAAAATATGAGAAAGACTGAAATATTACAATGATACCTCATATAATAAGAAAGTTTCCACATAAGTACATTTTCTCAGATGTCTTTAAGATGCTCCTCCTCTAAATACCATAATATTTTTATTTTAACAATGTTTAGTAAAAATGTTTCGAAAGTGACATTTTATTTATGGTTTAGGTTCATCATTATGATCATCAGTTATATTTTTCTGTAAACTTGGAATGCCTCCAAGGGCTACAGGTCTGTAGGACTGCTTGCTGTTCTGCCACTAAATAGTCCCATTTACTATGCTTTTTGAGCTAGTCTTCCTTGACACCATGCTATCTATTATCACTGATCAGTGTTGTGATGTACCTGACTCCTTCAATAAGCTACCATCATCTAATTTTTAAAAATCTTTTGTGGGATGTGAATCGGAGCCATATTCATTAGACTTTTATGTCAGCTTATACCGTGAGGACCTCTCCAACAGAATAAGGGACCTTATGACAGCTCTTTTAGTGGCTTATAAATATCTTTTCATTTATTATGAGCTCTCAGCTTGGAATAAGAAAGCAGAATTTGCAGAAATCTGACCTACGAAAAAGTGGGGTATTACTTTATATAGGTTACTTAACAATTTTTCCTTTCCCTTCGGGACTTCCCCCTTGTTTTCTTCAACTAATGTGTCACTTTTTCAACCTGTAGGAGATGGACGTGGATACCCATAAGAACAAAATTCTCTCTTTTCTCTCTTGTTTGTACGCCTATTTTTGACATAGTTATCACTTTCTACATTTGTTTTGAATCTGTTCAGACTTTGGAAACCAGATCATTAAGCGCATCTCCTGACTTGTAGTCTAGTACTTTTGGGCTCTTTCTCCTATTCTATACTTTCTTCTCATTCAAATTACAACTGCAGTCACTCTTATA